AAACCCCAGTAGACAGTTGTATGTCATAGTTGCACAGCCTTCTAGTTGCTGTATGTGGGACGCGGCCTCAGCATGGCCGGAGAAGCGGTGAGTCAGTGCACGTCCGGGATCCGAACCTGGGCTGCCAGCAGCGGAGCGTGCGCACTTAACCGCTATAAGCCACGGGGCCAGCCCCCCCTGGTCATTTCTGAGTGCCGCTTTCAGGCTCCCTTGCTCTCGCCCCCAGCTCCTTCATCGCTAAGGGTTCTTGAGGTTCTATTAGAGGCACCCTCTTCTTGCTTCACATGCTCTCTTTACTACTCATGTCCAAGGCTTTAATTAGTATACTGGTGACTTCCAAATCTGCAGCACAAGCCTAGCTTTCTCTCCAGAGCTTTACACACATATTTTCCACTCCTGACTACACACTGATGTTCTATAAGCTCCACAAAACCTACGTGACCAAATCTGAACAGAGGTAGTCAAGTGAGATGGCGAGAGCTCATGAAGTGAAGGCATCAGAGAAACCTGGGTTCAAATCCTGGCTTCACCACTTCTTAGCTGAATGCAATCTTTCTCATGGGTAAAACAGGTCTAACGCTATTTAGCTCCTGGGGTCTTTTGAAGATTAAATGAGGTCCAGTTTTAAGTGCCTAGCAAAGTGTCTAGTATATAGTCAGCATTTAATAATTATCATAAACCCTCTCTCAAACACTTTCTTGCTATATTCTGTCTCATGGAATGTCACTATCATCAACTCAGTTCCTCAACCCAGAAAGCTGCCAGCATCCCCAACTTTTCTATTCCCTTACCTGTATAGGTAACTCATTGTCAAGTCTTGTTTATCCTACCTTCTCATTATCTCTCTCTCTTTTTTTTTTTTTCTGTGAGGAAGATCAGCCCTGAGCTAACATCTGTGCTAATCCTCTTTTTGCTGAGGAAGACCGGCTCTGAGCTAACCTCTATTGCCCATCCTCCTTTTTTTCCCCCAAAGCCCCAGTAGATAGTTGTATGTCATAGTTGCACATCTTCTAGTTGCTGTATGTGGGACGCAGCCTCAGCATGGCTGAAGAAGCGGTGCGTCGGTGCGTGCCCGGGATCCGAACCCGGGCCGCCAGCAGCGGAGCTCGCGCACTTAACCACTAAGCCACGGGGCAAACCCTCATTATCTCTTAAATCTACCTCTTCTTTGTCATTCCCTTTGCCACCACTCTAGTCTAGCCCCCAGCACCACTCACCTAGATGACTGCAACAACCTTCTACTTGATCTCTCTGGTTTCCATCCTTTCCTTCCCTCATCCATTCCTCAAATTGCAAAGAGATCTTTCTAAAATGCAAATGGGATCATATCACTCCTTTCCTCTTTAAACTCTTCAGTGAATTCCCATTGGACTCAGTATGAAGTCCAGATTCTTTCCTATGACTTTTATGGCCCTGCATGATTCAGAAATCTTAAGACAGGTCTAGTTTTTTGCAAGGTTACTTTCAACGGTTATCTCCAAGAGAGGTGAGTTTCAAAACACAAACTAAGACAACCCAGTAAGAAGAATGCTCTGTGAAATTATTAGCTATAAATCAGTTAAAAGTTGGGGTACGATTACTCAAAATGACAACAATGGCTTCAGAGTGACCTATGATGAGTGTGTTTTTCTTTCTGGGAGAATTAAATAGAGGGGAACAGTTGTTTATTGAGATCCTTTTAGATTATATTAACACCATTATCATCTCACAAAGATTTGTACATGAATGTTCATAGGAGAATTATCATAATAGCCAAAAAGTGGAA